GAGAGTCCCTGGTCATCTCCAGTACTGGTGGTTGGAAAGAGAGACGGTAAACCGCGCTTTTGCTTGGATTCTAGGAAACTAAATTCTGTCACTAAAAAGGATGCTTACTGTATCCCCTATGTTTCAGAAATCCTTGATAATCTGAGAGACGCTAGGTATTTGTCTAGTATAGATTTATCAAAATCTTTCTGGCAGATTCCTATTAAAACGGAGGATAGGGAGAAGACTGCATTTTATGTCCCAGGTCGAGGAACTTTGCAATTTAAAGTTACCGCCTTTGGCTTGTCAAATGCACCAGCAACACAGCAACGTCTGGTAGACACTCTCTTTGGTCCCGAGTTTGAGCTGAAGGTATTTGCGTACCTTGATGACGTCATAATCTTGAGCCGATCCTTCGAGGAGCACGTGTCCTTATTGCAGCGCGTACTGGAGAAGTTGCACAAAGCTAATCTTACAGTTAATCTTAGTAAGTGTCAGTTCTTTCGTAGCAAGCTAAGATATCTGGGTTACGTAGTCGATTCAAAAGGTTTGCGCACTGATCCGGAGAAGGTGGAGGCTGTTCTTAATTATCCAGCGCCTACAAATCGAAAGGAAGGCAAACGTTTCCTTGGTACAGCTTCTTGGTACAGAAGATTTATACCGAATTTCAGCACGATTGCTGCACCTCTTAATAGATTAACATCAACAAAGAAGAACTCTCCACCTTTTCAATGGTCGGTCGACGCTGACAAGGCTTTTATCGCTCTGAAGTCACTGCTGGTCAACGCTCCGGTTTTAGCTTGTCCCAATTTCGATCAGCCTTTTGAGGTCCACACGGACGCCAGCAATTTTGGCGTTGGAGCTATGTTGTCTCAAACTATTGAAGGTGTTGAGCATCCAGTTGCTTATATGAGTCGTTCCTTATCTGGTGCTGAAAGAAATTATAGTGTGACAGAACGTGAAACTCTAGCTGTTTTAGTAGCTCTGGAGCATTGGCGTTGTTATCTGGAAAACGGGTTACCATTCACTGTTTACACTGACCATTCAGCTATTAAATGGTTTCTTTCACTCTCAAACCCAACTGGTAGACTGGCTAGATGGGGTATTCGCTTATCAGCTTTCAATTTCGATATAAAGCATCGACGTGGTAAGGAAAACGTTATACCCGATTCTCTTTCTAGATTACCATCGCTCGCAGCCATTTCTAAATCTAACCCCATTCCTGAAACTCAAGATTCATGGTACCTTAACATATATCATGGATGTCAAGAGTCACCGAGCAAATTTTCTAACTATCGTGTTGAAAATGGAGCCTTATATCGCTTTATGAAGGGTGGGAATTCTCTTACTTCCGAGTTCGACTGGAAGTTGGTGGTGCCTCAAGAACAACGCTTAAATATAATGAAAAACGACCACTCTGAACCCACTGCCGGTCACTTTGGAATTTTTAAAACTTATAAAAGGCTTCTTCTTCGTTTTTACTGGCCAAAAATGCACGCAGATGTGCTTAAGTTTATTTCTAAATGTGACATATGTTCAGCCTACAAGTTGCCGACCCACGGCACCTTAGGTGTGATGGGGAGGCCTAAAGAGTGTAGCCGACCCTTTCAAACTCTTTCTATAGATTTAGTGGGCCCGCTTCCTCCTTCACGAAAGCAACATTGTTATATTTTCGTCGTAACATGCTGTTTTTCAAAGTATTGCCTTATGTTTCCCTTGCGAAGGGCAACTGCGGATGTGGTGGCTAAACATTTGGAGAATGATATTTTCTTAGTGCATAGTATTCCTCAAACAGTTATTTTGGATAACGGTGTCCAGTTTACGAGCCGTGATATTAATGTTTTGTTTAAAAAGTATTCCGTCCCTAATGTTCATTTTACCCCGAGGTACACTCCACAAATGAATACCGTTGAAAGGTACAACAAAACCATAGTAACAGCTATTTCTACGTTTGTTGAGGAAGACCACCGTGCATGGGATATGAATCTCTCTAAAATACAGTTCGCCATAAACAGCTCTGTCAATGAGACTACCGGTTATACCCCAGCGTTCTTAGTTCATGGAAGGGAATTGGTCGTGGATGGGTCTCATTATATTGGTAATGAAACCCCAAACGAGACTATTTTCCTACCTCGTGACGTTTATGCTGAGAACTTAGGACATCTTACAACTGTTTTTGACAAAGTTCAGTTAGCATTATGGCAGGCTCATAAAAAAAATACACAACGTTACAATTTAAGACGAAAATTTGGGGAGTTTCACGTTGGTGATGTGGTTTGGAAGCGCTGCTATTTTCAAAGCGATAAAGACGCCCGTTTTACAAAGAAACTCGCCCCAAAATATTCAAAATGCCGCATTAAGCATAAAAATTCCCCCTTGGTTTATATTTTGGAGGACATGTCGGGACGTGATCTTGGTTCATGGCATATAAAGGATCTAAAATCAGCAGCCAAATAATAATGTTTTTGGCCCAATTTTGTAGATATTTAATTCATTTAGGCTAGCCAATGTCTTTTAACTTACGTAGGGTTTTAGTATCTGTATTACGGATTTTAAGAGAGCTAAAATCCTTTTCTAAGAGGGGGGATACTGTAACGTTCGTAATTCTCCTAATAGCTATTTCAATTTATGTATATAAAAAAAGAACTTTATTTATAAAAAAAAACCTAAATACAAACTATAGTAGTATATTAATAAGTTTTAACGGCATCTTTGATATTAATTAATTATTAACAAAAAATAACTTACTATTATTTTACGAGCGAATATACGAACAAAGTGAAAGTTTTGTTATTTAATTACTTTACGTAGCTACTGGTTTGACAAGGACTGTGCGGGTTGAGGTAAGCGGGGAGAGTAGCGACACTGACAGCGGCCAGCTGATCCGCGCTCCTGCCACAGGCACGACCAAACATTGATAAGTTACACATGTACTTAACGCTCGCTAATACTTATAATTTTGAATTTTAACGTTCATGTTGGTTCGTCGTCTATTTAAAAAACTTGTTCTCAAAGCTGTCTTCCTTAAGAATTTACTATTCAACGAATTTAAATTGCATAGTGTTTGTGTTTATCCCGTACTGGGAACTTCGTTGGGGTTATATTACCCACTTAATGTTGCTGCCCTTGTGGACAAGGTGATCCCTATTGTACTGAACGCCGGCGCAGAACACTGGACAGAAGTATAAACGTTTTCTGGACCGGGTGGAGAAGCTACGTATCCAGGGGAGTGCCGTTACGGTGCACTCGCTATCGACCTCGTACCTACCCACGACCCACTTATATTTTATTTTTTTGCTACAAGATTGTAAATTCATTTGAAAATTAAATTCTAATATCTTATTTGTCTTCTTTTTATTTATTTTAACATAAATAAAACGTGACACCTAACTTAAAACTTTCGGCTGTATCGGTCATTTTGTTCCTCCCAGTATACAAAATTCATAAATTTCTCCATTCGATTTTGAAACTTTAATACGTCGACGCTAGGGTTCAAAACATTTGGCATATTGTGGTAATCTGACGTGTAGCCGTGTGAACTATCGCACAGTTACTTCCGAGATGCTTGATCCGTAACCTGTCAGCTTAATTTCGTTAAAAAATTGACGGTATTCAATCAAATGCACTAATAACTGGTACTGTGAGATCAAGCCCAACCATGTTGAGGAACCTTTAGGTTGAGTGTATGGTTTCCTTACTGTGGTGATGGAGACAACTGGCCAGGGAGACTAATGGATAATTGTCTCCCTCCAAGCTAGGTGCAGTTAGCCCGGGGCCCGCGGTCCAACTGATGTAGGTTGGACGTTCTATTTATTTTAATTGGTAATGAAACTTATTCTGTGCGATGTAGGTTTCTTTGTTCTAAATGCATTGTAGTTATTAATTTATGATGATTGTATGGGTACAGCGCCATCTCGTTACTTGCTGTTGAAACTTTTGCAGTTCGTCTTGCTATCGATGGCTGTAATGATGCTAGTCTTCTTGCTATCGATTGCTGTGGCGATGTTAGTGCGATGAGTTAGATGTCGCTATGTATCAGTCGCTAAAAATGCTTTACTAATTGAAATTTCAGCCCCACTCAGTATTAGACGACAATTTCTTGCAGTTTCATTGTTGTTCCGATCACTTCAATTCTCCGACCATCCTCTTTTCCACCTACTTAATTCTCTGAACAATGAAATAACTACACCTAGCTATTGGTCTCATAAACAACTGCTTGCTTAACAGTAAGCGATTAAAAAATACCTATACATCAGTCAAATCGTCCAGTTTTTAATATAGATTATGACGCCTTGCTAATTTTTACTCCATTTTTACACCTGTATTTTTAAATATTTGTCAAATAAAATGAGCGTTTGCATGTAACCTAACTTGAAACTTTCGGCTGTGTCGGTCATTTTGTTCCTCCCAGTATATTTACGGGGGAATGCCTTAGCTTACCAAAAGCTGTCGGGTATGTTGTTCTCATGAACTAAATAAATCAATAATATTTTCCGATTCTATGAGTCCTTTACAAGCTATTGATAATGTTCCGTTCCGTACAAGATTATATAACCCACTTTTGTTTGATATAAGAAATAATCTTTATAAATGTGCTAAAAAAGTGTATCTGGTAGAATTTGTGTGGTTTGGAAACCACATTCACCACATTTTAAAGTCACATGGAAATTCAAGGTAATGAGAAGTCTGATCAATTAGCAAAAGAGGCAGTATTGCAGGCAGTATACTGTGGGGACATGTTTCCTTTTAAAAATCCGCACACAAATCCGTTTTCAACGACGGAATAGCCGAATCCACAAACAGCGACAACTAAGTCTGTGGGCTTAAATCATGTTTATGCATCGTGGAGTCGTGTATTGTTAGGTATAATTAATCCATACCGCATGGGTCAATGCTATATGTCTATCAATATAAAAACATTTCAGTATATAAACTTGTATTTTTTAAAAATCAAATAATACTGATATAAATAAAAAATTTAAAGTCATCTAAAGACTAATAAATATAAGACGTTCAGTTGTTCATATATCATAATATAACATTTCGGGAAATGATAACGCGGCGAATACAGTAAGAACAAGCATGGAGTAAACCGTTACTAAAATGTCCCTTTTCATATTGAGCAATGGATCACAATTCGAGCGATTTACATGTTCAGTTTTTAACAAATTACTATTGTACCGGGTAACATCCGATTCTCTCATATATAAATATTTTGTATTTTTCCTATTCACGACTGCATTCATGTAATCATCTTCATTCTTACTTACATACATAATTGAATGCTGTTTAGTTACATCATTTTGGATAACGGATTCCGAAATTTCTACTATTTTATTTAGGTAGTCATTGGAGGACTCTCTATTAGTTGTTTCGCAATCTTTGAATGACAAAATAGATTGTTTAGAGGGTTCACATAAAATCTCCAAAAGAGAATTTGTAACATTTGTACTGTTAGTAACTGTTATAGGAAAGAGAGACGGAACGTCGGTAAAATTGCTGGTGAACACCTTTTCTGGAAAATTCACGCTTATTTCTTTATCAATTGTGATTGGTTTATAATAATATAGAGCATTGTTTCCTTTCGAAATGTCATAAGCACTCTCCGATTCATCATTTGATATATATGTAGAATAAATACTAGGATTTGAGTTCAATTTATTCATTCTGTTTAAGGAAGCGATTGAAATCAGTTCTCGAGATTCAATGTAATCCAATCTACGTTCGCATTGTATGGTATTTTCTAATTGCTTGCATTCCTTATTATCCGTACAATTTTTTGTGGTTGTGATATGACATGCTGTTATCTTCTGAATCTCATTTAACAGTCCCACTAGCACATCTAAGGATGAAGTACTGTTCATATCTTTTATATTTGTTTCAATATTAAAATTTTGTATTTTATCTAAAGAATTATTAACTCCTTTTGGTATTTCATCGAGTACAACATTTGCTTTTTCAAGTGCGTCACTTGTGTCATCAACAACTGACTCGGAAATAACTTTTACTTTGTGTGATTGTTCAATTTTTATAACTTTCTTATCTATGGCAGTCGAACTACTATTTTGGAAATGGATATTTTGTCTTAAATCTGTTTCTAGTATTGCTTTGCGTGAGTGATTTACGGCAAAGTCGGAATTATTATTTACAAAAGAAGTGCAGCTAACAGCTTTAAATATATCATGTACAGACTTAGTGACTGACTTTGAGCTAAATCGAGTTGTACTGTATTGTGGAAATGCATAGCCAACAGTAGTAATTTGCAGAGGTAATCTCGTAATATTTCTATCTATTTGAGGTTTCATGGTAGACTGCAGTTCCTTTATATTTTTTTCATAACTTGATTGCGACATACTTATTTTCAAACGCTTAGATAGTTTAGACTGAAGAATTATCGGTCCACCGTCACCAGACTGTACTAAAAAAACTTGCTGCTCTGATTGTTTAGGTGTTATCGTTAATTGCTTTATTCTTAAGCGTTTCGAAAATGCTCCTATCGATATTCGTCTACTTAATGCATTTTCTAGCTCTTCTAATTCAGCATCTGATTCAAATATTTCTTCATCAACACGTTTTATCGCGTCTGATTTTGTAAATATTTCATCAGTGATCTGATCAGTATCATCGTGTAAGTGTAAATTTTGGACTGCAGTTTTGACATTTCTGTCTTTGAAAATATCAACACGGCATTCAGAGTCCACGGAAGAAGGATTTTCGTCTCTCGAGTGTAATTCTTCATCGCAACGATCCTCCTTATTTCTAATATCATTTTCCGGATATTCAGCAAGGGCAGTGAGGGGTATTGGCTTCGGTTTAATAATGCTATTGATAATGTGGTGTAACTTATTTCCAATAGTAACGGACTCTTCTTCTGTAGGAGAAGACACCGGCGCTGAAACAAATTAAACTTTATATTCATAATTAAAATTCTTAAAAAACCAATTTATCCCTGGCACTCTGAAATGGGATTCGAGCCCATGAACCCATTTTTAGGCATTTTTAATGAAGAATATTTTTCAGTACCTATTGTGAATGCAAATTTGATCAAATATAAGATTTAGAACAAATTTTCATTTTTATTGAAAGTTCAATTATTTGTAAAAATATGTATCACGGCTGTTTGGGTAGATTGAATGAACATTGATGAAAAAAAGTTCTGTATAAAATTAACAAGTGTTTGAAAACTTAGGACTAGCAGTCGCCCGGACTGCGAAAGGTCATGGGTTTGAATCCCATCTCAGAGTGCCAGGGACAAAGTGTGTTTTTTAAGCATTTTTCATCATTAAGAATATTTTTTAGTATAACATTGTGAATGCATAATTCGTTTCGTTCTTTATCGACGCGTGTTAATAAGCGCAAACAAAGTTTGAGAACTGATACCAGTCAGAAATGTAACATGTTTTAAGAATGGCAATTACTACTATTATATACACAAAGAACTCATTCCAGCCACTTTGACGTTTATAAATATATTTTGATGTGACTTCTAAAGAAGTTTTAAAATGAACTTTAAATTATATTTTTCCACGCTCTTACATAATTGGAGGTCGTCTGGCACGAGTGGCACCCTCGCTTTGATTGCACTACGCGCCTGCTCTCCGCCCGGTAACAACGCGTGTCCATAGTGACTTTTCACGTATGACTCCACAGCAACCATTTTGTTTTTTCTGAAATTTTATACATGATTACTTAAATTTTGATTAATTTTCTACTAATAACAGTATTTACTCATATAAAATATAAAAGTGTGAAATTACACCAATTATTTAAATGAAATCGATCTTTCAAATAAACAGGCATTCCTTACAATATTTCAGGTGCGTCTAGAACGTGGCTGTGATTGTAGGACGTAGCTTCGGGCATCATGGATTTCTCAGGGCTGGCGCTCTTTGGACGACGGTGCTTGGCTGCCCGTTCTGCTATATAACAATTAATCCGAAATATACTGTATCAAATTATTAGTGTTCAATAATTTGATACTCACCAAGTTCTGGGGCACAAGACTCCTGAGAAGTGAATAGGGACAAAAGGTCATAACCTACCGCGCGAAGGTAGTGCATATTGGTGGATTATATTACTAATATCCATACTAACTTGATGATAATCAACAGATAAATGTTAAATTCACCTTTACACACCTAAAGGAGGCAACGAAGGCGGTTGCTGCCTCGTAATGGTAGCGGACGCAGCCTCTGCACTCCGTTTCGACCTGCCTCTCGTACCAGCTGACCCCATCTGTCGTTCTGGGTTTTGCATCGCCACCTGTGCCCCGGCCAACCTTTGTAACCTATCTGCCACTATCGTCCTCCCATATTTAGTCTGGTACTCCTCACTATGAGCTTGTACATAAGATTTCTTAGGCTGAGCTAGTGTGTTTAACCTCGACGTAAATTTTGATGGCCCTCGTACAGCTTCGCCTTTAGCTTCTTTTACCTCATCAATAATATCTGCTAATCTTTTCTTAGTAGTACGTTCGATATGCCTATCTTCGCAAGATAACGGTTGTTCTGATAATTTTAAGGTGTCATATCCAACAATCGGTCTTGGTTTTCGTTCCTTTGGTATAACTTTTTTTTCATTAACATGATCATTTTTAATAACGTCTGTAGTCTCTAAACGTGAACGGGTTTTCATGAAGCCAGATCGCGAAGTATTACGATTTTCGAAAGATATTTCAAGTTTCTTGTTAGATTTCGTACCCGTTGTCAATTTCTGTCTCGTTTTTTGGACACTGTCAAACTCGTGTAACAATTGTGAAATAGCTTTTAAAGGATTTTCTGGAACTTTCTGCGTATTCATTGAAACTTTCTTACGTTCCTTCTTTACTTTGTCTATTTCTAAATTTGGATCATGTTGTTTAGTACTTATGATTACTTTTGGTACAACAGTCATTAAGCCATTGGTTTTTTTGCTGACTCCGTTCTTTGAAACGGTTGTGCGGTCGGTAGTACATATTTTACCAAAGCTAAAGCTGCTGGGATTTGACGATACTAAAAGATGTTTGAGGCTGGTGCCACTGTCACTGTACTTCATTGACTTCTCTTGGTAGACATTTTCATCGATTTTGTTTGAGTCAATTGTTGTGCATTTTGACTCAGGTGATTTACATTCATATGCACCAGAATTGCTTAATTTCTTCATTAAATCGTATATTTTATCTATACTTCTTCTACATTCAATAGGTATAGATTTTTTTCGACCGTTTTTCACAAGTTCGTTGTTACTAAGCAAAATTGATGGCCTTACGTTTAATGTATTTTGGAAAGACGCTACACTAGATTGATTTCCATTTTCGTTTAAGGCGTTTAATTCATTATGTTCATCAAATCTGAAACGAACGAAAATTATTTAACTCTTTAAAAGTTGATTTTGTATTATACTTAGCGTTTTACACTAGTTACCTTTCTAATTTATCACATGGACTAGTTATCGATGTTGGAGGCATTGACATGTTCGGCTCTAAATTTGATCCTGCCGATGTAGAGACTGAAAATAACTCTCTGACATCACTACTATGATCACTTGGTTCTGTATACATCATTTCAGTTACCGCTTCGTCTAAATAATAACTGCGGTCAATATATTTCTTATTATTTACATCTGGTGTCAGCATTTCTGGCACCTGCTCTTCTCCGATATGTTCATCAGCTATGAAATCCTTTTTACCTTCATTTGATTTATATTTGCGTATTTTCATATCAACATGTTTAGCAGTCTGTCCATAAATGGAATTATAAAATGATTTATTAGTAATTGACAGCTTGGTCACGGAACTAGATGGTCGAGGCATAACCGAACCTTTGCCGTATCTATTTTTTTTTATTTTACAACTTTCACCCATAGCTATTTTCTTTTTTTCGCGTCTTTCTCTGATTTCCAATAGTTTTTTCCTTTTTTTTTCTTCTATTAAATATGATTTATTTTCGTATGGCGATTTTACTCTCACTCTAGGGGACGATTTCCTTTTTACAGGATTTTTAAAATCTTCACAATTTTCTTCAGGTAAAGAATCCATGTTTAAACTTTGGATTGATAATGCCAGAGCTTCAGATGTTGTAATTTTAAATTGAGTCTCTTTTGGTTGAATATTCGTAACAACTTCTGTGTCTAAGAAATCTTTTAGTGCACTACTATCACTTGATTCAGAGACAATGTTGTTGAAATTATATTCGTCGTCATCGCAATAGTCCTCTTCGCGTTCAGTGCTCAGGGAAGTGTCAGCAGTCTCTGCAATCACATCATTTAAGAGTTTTGGTGTCTTCTCTTCCGATTCATCTATTATTTCTGAAATGTTTTGCTCTAAACTCATAGAAGTTAGAACAAACTCCTCATTCGTTTCCTTTATTTCAACAAGCTTAGGAGCTTGCTTCTCTTTTTCTTCCTTAGGTGCTTCGCTATAAAGTATGGGTATCAATGTTGTTGTGGACTTGTCTGGAACGTAATTAAATATATTATGAATTCTATTTTTATACTTAATATATTATAAAGGGGAGAGATTTGACGTTTGTTTGCATTAAAAAGGCTCCGAAACTACTGGATCGATTCTAAAAATTCTTTTTCTACGGGTAGATACATCATACGGAGTGGACATAAGCTATAATTTACGCGTGCGAAGTCACTGGAAAGCAGCTAGAAGTTTACAAAGTCATAATTTACACTATACTAACCAAGGTAAACTGATGGACTTGTTTGCCAAATCATTATCGAACTAAGATTACTCATAATCTGCCGGGACGCAGACTGGCCAAGTTGTAAAACTACATCAAATTGAGACATTTTCTTTATATCAATATTCTTAGATTGATGCTCTCTTTTACATCCAAGGACTAGTTTGTCAGAACATAACTTGCTGAATAATTTATATGATCCAGGGATTATCTTTGGAATCTCTACAATTATTTTCTTCTCTAATATTTTAGACAAAGTTCGAATATCTACTTCTGAATGTATTGCTTCATTTAAACTGCTCGAATTAATGTTTGCCTTTCGTTCAATTTGTAGCGGAATGCTGGAAGAGGTGGCAAGAATTTTTGCATCACTACTATTAGTTGCATATACCGATTCTCTCCATTTTTCTTTTGCTTTTTCGGTTAAATAATCTCCGTTACTTATACGTTTTAATTGGTCGATGGTGTGTCTAACATATTTTATGATATTATCCATATAGAAATTATAATTATCATCTAAGCGTTTGCAGCAAATGTAATCTAATAACGATGCCGGAAGCAAATGATCATCAAATTCATTGGAAGTTACTTGTAAAATATTCAAATTCTGAAGCTGTTCCCTAATGTAAGGGTCTTTGAAGAGTAAATGTTTATCATAATGCATAGACACATTAGAAGTTCGCATTTTTAGATCGCCGAATTTATGGCATAATGTGTTTTCCAGAGAGGTTGGATCATTCAGGAGGTCAAATCTCTCTTGGTTGACCAAGACCATATTGTGTACATCATCAGTATTATAGATTTCGCTACCGTCGCTACCATCAGAGTCGGGTTCTTCATTGTAAACAATCGTCTCCACATATTGATTGGGTTTGCGAAGTTTTAACCCATCCGCGTCGGACATGAGTTTGGTGCCCATATCTATATTTTTATATAATATTACTAAATCGCTAGCCGAAAGGGCGTGATCTAGTGAAAAGAAAAATAAATTAAAACACCAAATGAAAATTAAGATTCATTTATAACAAATACATAAATAGAAGCTTAAGTTAATATTATAAGTAGAGCAGCAAACTTTAGTATAATAAGCCAATGAAGTTTGCTATTTTTTTTTCTTTTTAATAAGAATAAGCATAATAAAAATATACTGTGAAAAAAAATCTTAAATATTTACGCAGCTCAGTAGTATTTTCAGCATCGCCTGCATTTTACAGTCGCGGTTTGTCTATTACTTGATGGCACTATAAAAGTCTTTTATTAATATTTTATTGACCCTATGTATTAAAGTGCAATAATAAAAAAACATTAATAAAATATTTTTAAATAAGGAACAGAATGCATCTACTTATAAACAAAAGTCTCTATACGTATGTAGGTCCGAAGCCTAACCACAAAACGGATAAAAACAACTTTAATCGTTATATATATAATGCTAAACTATTATTTAAAATGAAAAATTATAAAAGGAACCTAAAGATGATTTTAAAATACCTATTCAACAACACCCCACGTGACATAGTTCATCGATAATTTTTTTAATTTTGACAATATAGCGTCTGGTTGTCGCTGTGGTGAATTTTGATTACTGTCATGTCTTTAGTGACACTCGCAAGGTTAAGACGAATCGATTGGCGTGAGAATCATCAAAATCGGCCAACGCATTTGATTTTTAGAACGCCACATAGAAACAAACATACTTAGACCGATAAACACATTACCCTCCTTTGCGTCGCATAGTCGGGTAAAAAGTGGTACCCATTAACTAATAGCTATGCTTATGATTTCGGACTAAAGTAGCCATGACATATCTACTGGTGGACGCACAGACAGATAGACATGACGAACCTATAAGAATTCCAAGGTTTATCGACTAGTGCAAGTTCATTCTGCGGAGCTCACGTTGTACACATAAGGAGTGCAGAAAGATTTCTGTGCTTATTTTCATTAGTAGATCTTTGACTATCATTATCTTCTAGTGCAAGCTCATTTACACTAGTTGATAGGGGCCTGCATGCGGTGTTCAGCGATTTCTGCGCTTATTATAATCAGTACGTGATCATTGTTTGCCATTGGTTTATCTACTACTGCAAGCTCATTTACACTGGTGTGTGATTTCTGTGTGACTCTCATTGGTTTCCCGACTAGTATAAGTTCATTAACATTGGTTGATAGTGCCCCTAAGCGGAGTGCGGTCGATCACTTTGCTTATTTTCAGTAGGCGATCATTGGCTGCCATTGGTTTATCCATTACTGTAAGCTCATTTATATCGGTCGATATAGGTTTCCTAACTAGTGCAAACCCATTTACATTAGTCGATAGGGCCCGAATGCGGAATGCATTGATTTTTGTGTTTATTTGCATTAGTTTTGACTGAAACTGAAAGAAGTTTATCAGCCAGCGATATGAGCCCGTAGGAATCGCTCGCATTATCCATGCGGACCCTATCGATCAATGTAAGTATTCCATTATAAAAGTCGATGTTGATACAAAAACCACCAACGGGCAAACCCTTTACCTATTGCATCCAAAGAGGTAAAATGTGAGAACAGTTCCCTTCCTGCCTCCTAACTTAAAAATTAAAGATTGAAGGAATACGTATTTACAAAAACAGCAAATATTACTTTGTCATTATAAAATAAATATTTATGATTTAAAGCTACATTACTTTATTTTATTAAACACATTCTTCAGAGGATTTCTTTGATTTATATTGTAACATAAATTTTCCTTAAGGCGCTGTCTCCACGAGCGAGAGAATCGCGACGAGTTCGCACATCTATCGTCGTGTAACAGAATCCTTGACGATGCGTTGTTCTTTTTTTTTGTTGGAAGAATTCAGTTAGGTGCCAGACGAGAGAAAAAAAAGTAGCGTCTCAGAAAATAATATATCGTATAGGGCAGGTGTTTCTCTTACTTCAAATATAAACTTTTCGATGTCCAACATTGTAGGTATGTTTTGTTTATAAATAAAGTTTGTCGATAGATTAAATCACATCCTTGCTTGGCGAGAGGTAACCCCGAAATGACGCTACATTTAAAACGCGCTCGCCGCGCGCTCGTAGCAAGGGCGTCACGTTCTGCGGCGGGCGCGCGGCGTGAGCGCCACCAGTAGCGACGATACCGCAGCGATACGACGACCATTACACGCGCTCATTGCCACTCTAGTGGCAATCCTACACGACATAAAAACGCAAAATACGGCGTTTCGTGAACAAAAGATATCCTTTGGCAGATTTGATCTGTAGGTCCAAAGGATTGATTTAAGAAGTGGAGCCACCTGGATTTCCCTTGCAGGTGAGGGGGGGAGGGGGGGGAAGTTTGCACCCGCCGCGCTTCGATTAAAAAATTATAACTGCTCCAGTTATGCATACAGTGGCGTGTTTGGTATCGTTTTCGCATAAGAAGAGTACGGGCAATCCGTTTTTAAGGTTAGTTAGAGATACTTTTGTACAAAAAGTCAATAATTTTCGAAAAAAAGTAAATTATAAAGTTAGATTTTTTTTCTTTTAAATATATTTACCTTAATAAATAGATCGATTTTGTGATAAAAAAAATAGTATTATCAAGCTCATACTATCTAGTTTTTAGAAATATATACATCACGTATACTTCTCTAACAGTATGTACCCCAAAAAAAAATACCGCGCGAATCTAGAAAACTTAAGTTGTAAATCATTTTACTGTTTATCTTTTTTTAACTGCTCCAGTTATGAATACAATGGTATGTTTGGTATCGTTTTCGCTTAAGAAGAGTACAAGAAATCTATTTTTAAGGTTATTTTTAAACATTTTTATACAAAATGTTTATAGTTTTGATAAAAAAGTAAATTTAAAAGTTATGTTTTACACATTTTTGGTTATTTTTCGCAAATTAACTATTATCTTCTACGTTGGAATGTATAGTTTGTTAAAGACGGAGTAAATAAAATAATGATAAAAAATAAGCAAATATATTTTATATTTATAAAATAAAAAATTGTTAAAATCAAACACTTTCTCAAGTCTTCGAATTCCTCCGGAGGGCCTCGCGGACTACAAAACTGAAACAAAAAAGACAATATTATATGTAATAATGTATAATCTCTGTTTAGTTTTAATAAACTATAAATATAATAAACTCTAATGTTATCTAACAATTTAAATATACCTACCTACCTGGAATTAGCGGAGTATCTGTTACACTCTTATTCTCCGATGAGCGCCTCGAGGTCTATTGCACTGTAACAAAATAGAAATAATATTATACAATGTAAATAACAATACGAAATTCAGCAGGCAAAGTTATTTGACAACATAAATATACCTGGTATTATCGCAGTTTCCGTAGCAGCTCTTACACAGCAGTGTGCATGGCATACCCTCTCGTCTGCAAGAACATCGGCCTCTGCAGCTGTTCTTGCATCCACACTTCACCAGCTCTCGTGCTGCCTCCCAGATACTGGGCTGAGTTGTCCATACATTCCAACGTAGAAGATAATAGTTAATTTGCGAAAAATAACCAAAAATGTGTAAAACATAACTTTTAAATTTACTTTTTTATCAAAACTATAAACATTTTGTATAAAAATGTTTAAAAATAACCTTAAAAATAGATTTCTTGTACTCTTCTTAAGCGAAAACGATACCAAACATACCATTGTGTTGAGGGTGCTGATCCGGCTCTATGGACCAAACCGTAGACGATGTTGTATAACCGTGGATGATGGTGAAAACAAAGACGAATTTCTTCTATAGACGATTTATTATATTTTCTTCTTACTGGCTACTTATTACTGCTTGACTATACTGCTTGACTGACTTGACTTGACTACTTGCTGAACTGCTTGACTGACTACGAATATTTACAAATTTGGCCCTACCCTTATTCTAAACTTAACATCTAACTTAGCTACTAGTGACGCGCGGCGGCCGACCAATCACAGCGCGTTTTACGCCCGCGCGCCGGGTGGGGGAATCGCCCCCACCGTGCGGACGGCGCCTACGCAGCCAATGGGCTCCCCGATAATTCCGCTAATGTAGGCGCTGTGATTGGTCGTTCGATCTGTACATTTTTCGGCACGTGGCTGTCTTCAACAGTCTCCCCCCGGCGAAGGATCTCCGCAGCCTCCTCCGGTTGGCAGCCCGTGCCCGTCGCGCAGCGCGTCCTCTCTCATCGTTCCGTGGAGAGTGCAGGTTCGACGACGATCAGCTTCGATGTCGGCCGCCGAAATGTTCCTCCTCTTGTGGTTATCTCCACGTTCCGAATCACGCCGTCAGGTCCAGGGTAGGTATTGGCTACGATGCCGCGTGGCCACGTGTTTCGAGGCAGAGTGTGGTCGGCTATGATAACCACGTCTCCGGTCCGTACTTCGCTGCTTCGTGGACGTTGTGGGTCGCGGCGTGGTACGGTTTGGGTCTTCAAGGGCGCGACCTTAGCTCTTGCCGCTATCAGGACTGTCTCGATGACATGGCCGGCTCCGTAATGCAATCTCCAATACGCCGCCGTTGCGTAGGCTTCTTCGCTGGCGTCGCAGAATATATGAAGTTCACGGCGACGCACTTCTCTCCCCCCGTTATAACTACGGGGTAGCCGTAGTTGGTCGATTGCTGGCAGGCTTGTCAACCATGCATCGAAGTCCTCGCTCAAGTCGGATGGAAGAGGGTCGTCCCAGCCGGTCTTGAGGCGCCATAGTTTTTGAAGAGTTATCTTCGCTGTGATTGTGAAGCAGCTGAGCAGTCCGAGCGGATCGTATATGCTCATCACCGTCGATAATGCTTCTCTTTTCGTCGGCGGGCGTTGTCGAGACTTCACTGGCAGTGGGACTCTAGGCAGGGCGGTGTTGAAGCCCAGCCGATCGGTATTTGCATCCCAATGCAGGCCCAATGTCTTCTCTGTGTCTCCAAACGTCGTAGTCCCGCTTTTGGCTCTACTATCCGGGCTCACGGCTTGTAGAAGCTTCCTGTTGTTACTGTTCCATCCCCTTAGGTGGAATCCAGCCTTCTGGTGCACTGCGTCGACTTGGGTGATGACTCCGTGGGCCTCTCTCGGATCATTGAAGCTGTCGACGAAGTCATCCATGTAGTGCGCTTCGGTGATTGCGCGCAGTGCTGCAGGGTGCGTCTCAGCATGCTGTCTCGCGTTGTGGTCCCTCACGCTGTGTGCGAGGAACGGTGAGCTCGATGCGCCGAAGATCATCGATGTCATCTTCAGCTTGCGCGGTGGTTCATTTTGCCTGCAGTCGCGCCACAGGAACATCTGTGCGGGTTGGTCCTCGCGGCGTATCTTGATCCGCAGGAACATTTCCTCGATGTCAGCTGTCACCGCGTATGCGCCCTCTCGGAACCGGAATAAAATGGTCTGCAGCGATCGTAGCAGATCCGGCCCTTCGAGTAGGTGATCGTTCAGGCTGACACCTCGAATTCTTGCTGCCGCGTCGAAAACCAGTCGCAGCTTCCCGGGCTTATTGGGATTCTTGACGGCGAAATGCGGCAGGTACCATGCGATGGGGCTTGCGTCCTCGGAGCCGTCGCAGGGTTCGGCGTATCCCTTTTTCACGAGGTTGTCGATCCTCCGCTGGTATTCTTCCATGTCGCGTG